TAGATATTTTCTGATTATTTGAATCTAATTGTAGAATATAATTAGTTATAAGATGTAAATTAAAAAATTTAATGTGTTATTTCCCAGCATGATTCCCTCACAACCACTATGTGAAATAATTGATATGAATATTTTTAAGAAATAAATTTTGAACAAATTTATTTCTTTTGCACTATATTCTTAATTCGATATGCTATAGAGGTGCTTACGGGATGGGATGGGATCAGGACATCCACGTCTCGTCCAGAAAAATGGGGTGGGACACCATTTGCATCCCGCATCCTGTCCCATCCTGGTTTTATCTCGATTCTGATCGGGACAGGGACAGGACCAGGATGTTCCAGTCAACCACTTTTTTTTTTTTTAAAAAAAGGTCTAGTTATAATTTAGTTAAAAAGAAGGCTGAATCACAACTTATGCTTAAAAAATAGAACCTGAAAACTAAAGCAAATTTGTTCACAACTATAATTTTTTCACAAATGAGCAATATAAAATAAGCTTGACACAAATGTAAATCATTTAAATGGGGGAACAATAAACAATAAACTTGAAGTAAATATAAATAAACAACATAAAATGAACTACTAGTATATAAATAAATTTAGCGTACAATAAATATCCTTTAAATTTAAATGGATGAGCTTGCAAAATTTATTCAAACATATTAATCTTTAAAAAACAATGACAAAAATCATTGTATATAACAATCTAAATTAATCCATAAACCTAAAAAGCAAATTGATTAAAAAAGAAGAAGACCAAAACATCTATAAAAACTTAGTATGCAATGATACCAACATTAAGTGAAGACTTATTTAAAATTTAGTCAAAATGTAAAAACATAGTCTATGATAACTCTTACTTAAGCTTTTTAAAATGAAAAATAAAAATTTTCTCAAAGCAAAGAAAAACCCAACCCATAAACTAAATTCTAGCTCAAATTTAATATGCACACACATTAGTTTCAAAATAATTAAAATTAAAGGGTGTAAACAAAGAAAATAATGAAAAAATGTTTTTAAACAAAAGGGGTTGGGATCGGGATGAAACAGGACGGGATGTCCCGCGAGGGTCATCCCGAGTCTTGTCCCGTCCTTGCTCCTTTGTGTCCTGGTCTTGGTACTATCCTGTCCCGGTCCATTTCGGGATGGGTACATCCCGTCCCGAAAAGACTGAGACATGTACAGGTCTACCGAGATGGGTACAAGGTTGAACACCCCTATGCTATATGGATACGAGGGAGTATTGCCTTTCATTTTGTGATTTTAAAATTTTTTATAAATATTTTTATATTTATAAGTGACTTTCATTTTATTGAAATTAAGAAAAAATTTCAACGTAATTGAATCTATTTTAATATATATACACATTTTTAAAGAAAATTTATTTTTATATTCATATAAAAATTTAATAATATGATTTATATAAATAAAATAAAAAAAATTCTCCCTCTAACAATAAGTAACACAAAAGTAAATAATTAGACCATTAGTGCATTGGATTCTAGAAAATGTTCTGATATTAATTTTAGACAAAAATCTTCCTAAATAAAATTAAATTTAGGCAAGTAATCGTTTGGAATGTACCTATGAAAGTGAAACACGTGGCATGGGGTCATCAGCTGAACAGAACTAGTAATCGCAAGTAGCCGTTGTCAATTTTGATGCTTGAAACACAGAGGTGCGGAGGAGCGTAGGAACATTGCCTTTTAAAATCTTCCAGTGCTGTAATTCTAATGTACCAAAAGCCCTGAAATAGAAAACGATGTTGAGCCTTTTCTCGATCTCGAGTTCGGATAATGCCTCGTTCCATTAAAAGAAAGCTTTGTAAACCAAGGAAACTTGTATACCGCCTTCTCTTTTCTGGCCGTTACGGCAAGGAAGTTCATTTGAACTAGAAATCCGAAAGGTATGTTTTCAATCTCCATTTGCTCGTTTTTCTCTATCATAAATAGCCTAAACAAAGGGACATCAAATTGCTTGTTACTGTCAGATTGATGGTAAGGGGAAATTGAAGAGCTCAAAGACAGGAGACACATAGAGCAAAAGCTATGAATTGTGAGTCACGGACGTTTCTTTTTCTTCTTCTGTGCTTTTTGCGTGCAAAATCAATTCCTTACTGGGTTGCTTGGTCATATCCAATAGTTTCTCAGAAAATATAGTTCGAATTTTATATCCTCATTTTCTGGGTCATTGTCCATCTCAGTTTGTTTCTTCGGCTTTTGGTTTTTTAGTCTTAAAGGATTAAGATTCACCTTTGAAGCTGCTTAGTTTTGTTTCGCTTGGCATTTAACAATGAACTTTTTAGTCAATACGATTGTTTGCTTTATGCACATCGGTTTCAAGCTTGATGAGAAATTGCCATTCTTGCTTTTTTGGCATCAAATTTCTTATTGCCATGAGAATTATAACTGTTCTATTTCTCCTCTGTGCTTCTTGCGTGCAATTATTTTTGGTGACAGTTGTTCTGTTAATGTAGAATCTCTTGCGTGCTTTATTATTATATGAGGAACATGAAATGGATTTTTCTATTATTAGGATTACAAATTAGCTTTTTGTGCTGAAATCTGCGATGGTTCATTGATTTTATGACATTATAATTTCAGGCACAAAGGCTTAAAAGTTTAGGGAATCTGGATCCATCTCGAAAATGAAAGCTTATAGGAATAGGTGAGAATTATCCATCTTGCAAACAGAGTTTGATTTTTGTTCAAAAGAAAATATGTATATCATGTGAAAAATATTTGATATCAAGACCTGTAACGTATATAGGGACATCACAATGATAGAATAAGGAACTAAAGAGAGAGCAAAGAGGCAGAGGGAGGTTGAAAAGTGCAAAGAGAGGAATCCAGACATAGAGAAGAATCTCCGAACAAGTCACATATGTTTCTCTTTTCTTCTTCTGTGCTTCTTGCGTGCTCTTATCCCAATAGTTTCTCAAAATATAGTTTCATTTTATGGGTTATTGTCTGTCTCGGTTTAATCCAGTCTTAGAGGATTAACTTCTTAGTTTCATTTCTATTGTTGGCTTGTAATGATGTCAATATGATTGTTTTCTTAGATCTCTGTGGTATGTAATTGGGAACTGGTTCTATGAATTGTCTTTTAGAGCTTGAGGATGCTTGAGAGCTTGCCATGCTTTCTTTGCTATGTGGAAAAAGGCTGAGAGCTTTTGCTATTTATCTAGAGCTTTTGTGTGCGGAAGAAGTTTGTGATACTATTTCATGGCACAAGGCATATATAATAAAGTGGCACTATGCATCTGGCAAACAAATTTTTCCCCTCATATAATATATTATTGCCGTTTCTTTCATGAATTTGATTTTCATTGAAAAGAAAATATGCTTAGTATATAAAAACTTTATTCGTCTTTTTCTATTGAGAAAAGACACTCGTGTTTTATGTTGGAGCGAAACTAGTTCTATACATTGTTTTCTATTATGTTCGTAATTTTTCTTGATTTTGTTGATCTTGACCTCTGATCCAATATTTTCTATTGGATCATGCTTCAATATATTGCCAAATGATTTTGTTCCTCCTTTAAGAGAGGATTTTATTTTCAGCAGTATCTTTTGGTGTCCATTTATGCGCTTTGCAATTTATTAACATATCCATTGTGTGAGAGGGGGTGGTTGATGGGTATGTAGTAAGAGAGATTTTTTGGTGGTCCTTTTAGAGGGAAAAAGGAAAATAGTGTTGAAACATCAGCTGATATATAAACCAACTGGTTGGAGATGTTGTAATAAACCAACTACCATGCTGTTGTCCTTTTCCTCTTATTGCATAAGCAACATAGGATTAGCATATGGGAAATAGATACGAATAATAAGAGGGGTCCTCATGTTACCTAACCTGTTGTGGTTAAAAAGTATGGTTTTTTGTATCTTACGAAAAATCTTGCTTGCATAGTAGATACAATTTAGCTTGAGACGATTTTTGCCCATCCAAACCTAGCCAACCACCCATTTTGGCGTAAACTAGGAGTGTTCACAGGATGGGAAGGGACTGGGATAGGCCCATCCCTGTCTTGTCCAGGTGAACAGGGACGGGATAGGACTTTTGTCCTGTGTCCGTCCTGTGCCTCTCTTTTTTTTGCCTATTTGTTTTGGGCCTTCTATTTTTTATTGAGCCTGTCATTGATTAAAATTTCTTTTTTTCTTTTTTTTGGCCTAACAGAAGTGAATCAAAAACTATGATTATTTTAAAATTTGGGCCTTTGATTTAATTGACAATACTTTTTAATTTGTAACAAATTGGCCCACTTTTCTGCATAACAAGCCTCTGGAAAAACTAGAAGCGTAAGCAGTCCATCTATAAAAATTCCCTGCGATGATATTTCTTCATTTAATATAAGTTTCCTAATATGGTCCTTTTTTTTTTTTGAAACATGTTCAATGATAGTTCTTGGAAGCTACCACCCCATGCCAATTTTTAGCTAAAGCACAAAACACAGGACCCAAGCGAGTAGAGCGAAGCCGTAAGAAGGATTAAGCTTCTCATGACGGCATGGGGAGACATACAAGCAAACGTGTAAGGCGGGGAGATTAACTTAGGAGTCCACTAAATATGTGAACGGCGACGATTGAGCACTGCTGGGAGTCGAGATTTGGACCTGCTACAGCTCGCTGCGGGGAGAAGTCACGAGGTAAGGAGCTGGTGAGAAGGAACTCAGTCTCAGTGATCGACAGGCTAGAGAATTGCGAGAGGCCAAGAGGGAGAATCTGGAATGGCCAAATGGTGTTAGAAAAATAAATTTAGGGCATATCTGTCATATTTGTAAATTTTTTTAAAATTATATATCTCGGGACAGGACAACCTCGTCCTGCGTCCCATCCCGCTCAGTCTTTTGTCCCGTCTCAGAAATTTTTTTGTCCCGTCCCATCCCAAAGTGATCAGGACCGAGATGGACCCATTGGGACGGGACAATTTGAACACCCCTAGTGTAAATACAATCTTAAACTTGTTAATTCATATATATAAAGGCAATAATGAGATCACTATTTTAGTAAATGATGCGGAGAAGGGTAGTGATATTGATCCACAAGAAGCTCAGCAAACTCTTGAAATAGCAGAAGCTAACTTGAGTAAAGCTGAAGGCAAGAGACAAACAATTGAGGCAAATCTAGCTCTCATACGAGCTAGGACACGAGTAGAGGCTATCAATATGATTTCGTAACAAGTTGGTGCGTACGAATAAAATAATTAAAAATCCAAATAGGTTGTATATGCCTACCCATCATCAACACAATAGGTTCCATTTAAAAATATGGTTTTCTATCAATTCTTATACAAAAAATCACGCTTGTGTAGGTAGAAATAGGTACAATTTAACTTGAGAGATTGTTGCCCACCCATTTTGAACTAAAACACTTAAGGGGTGTTTGACAATTGCTCCAGAAGTGTTTTAGGGCCCCAAACCATAGTTTGGGAAGGCTGATTGCCAAAACACCCACTTTTTTTAAAAACCATAGTTTACGGCAAAACCTTGGTTTTGGCCAAAGTAAACGATGGTTTGCGAATAAGCACATGGGGTCGCTTCTGAAGAATGAAAAATGGTCATTGGAGTAATAATTACTCCTGTCAATGGCTCCTAATGGTGAAAAAGTGCAAAAGCCTCTTCTCCCATTTTGCATGTACAGATGGTCGGTGATAGCACGTCACTTGCCAAAGAGAACAGACATCAAGAATTACTGGAACACACCCACCTTAAAAGAAGAGGCTCACTAGAATGGGTATCAACCCCACCACCCTTAAGCCCATAAACGACACCGTCAACGACGCAGCTGAAGCCCGGCAAGTAAATGAGTATTTGGAGCTGCAACTCTAAAACCAGCTCAACTCCCCCTACTCCTCTTCCCAGCCTTCACTGACTTGGCTCGTCCTCAACAATGTCACACCTCGGCCATCACCACCTCCCTACCTTGACGTGCTCAAAGTATGGCAAAATTCTTGGTCGTCCACGTTGAAGCCCTCAACAGAGAACACCCACAGAATGCATAGCATGAATGCCATTGTGCTCACCACCGACGACCTTGAGTCGCCAGCATCCACGTTGAGCTTCCCGTACGACGTCCCTACCAACTCCAAATGTCATAGTAATGGTAACTCTGCCTTTAGACAAATCAATCAAAGTTTACTTCTAGCTTCATCCTCTACCAGCCCCACCGTCGACGTCGCAAATGAGAGTGAAAACAAAGTGCAAAGCTTGGGAGAGGGGGACAATATCATGTTGGCCAAAGAAGCTTTTAGACCAACAGGTTATAACAGTAAAAATTCCATAGAAGATCTCTGTGATGACGGTAAGATGACTGGAAAGCCATTCTGGACTTGGTCATCAATTGTTCAAATATTTGTTAGAGTTGATCTGATCAGTGTTGTACATGCCATAATCATGCCATAGTTTTCATTTGAGGATCTGATAAATGGCTTGTATAATATTTGTTCATTGGCAAAATAAATCACTTTCCTCAAAGCATATTTAATTATTTTATAAATATATATACATAATAATTATTTATTATTTACATTATTTATGTCTTATTTATTATGTTGGAAAAATATATATTATTAACATATTTATTACTTCAAATGAACATAAATTATGAAATATATCTTTTATGTAATTATCATTTAAACTATGTCCTTTTTAGTAATTTCTTCATATATAAAAAAGCACTTCTGACAACAACTATCCAAACACTCTCATTTTATCAGAATCACTTTTTCAGAAAATTTATTCTTTCAAAATCTATTCTCAAAAATCATTTTTCTCCCAAAAGCTATTTTCCAAACCATAGTTTGGTTTTTTCAAACACCCCCTTAATCCTGAACTTGCTCTTGCTCTTACTACAAAGTAGGATACTTCAAATTCTCTTAATGGAAAGAATGTAAAAATGAAAGATCCCATTGAATTATTGAATCTAAGAAATAGTGAGAATTCTTGATCTTTAAGATGCCGCCTTTTGGACCCATACCTCAATATGAACACGCAACACTCGAACTTAGAGATTGTAACATCTCAACTTTTAGGTCTAAAAGTACCAGAAATAGCCTGAATTGAATAGGCTACCAAACCCCTTTTGAGCAGAAGTCCCAAAGATGAGACAGGAAATCAAAGCAGTTTTAGGGACTAAACTGCAAAGTGAAAGTTTTTAGGGGTTCAACTATAATCAAGGCTAGAGCTCCAGTAAAGCCTTAAGGGCCCAAAAAGAGAAAAGAGAGTAGAAACAGGCTAAGGGTTAAGTTAGAAACCTCAAAGAGAGGATTGTATGAAGTTAAGTCCAAGTAGGGACTAAACTGTAAATTCAAAAAGTTATGACCAACAGGGGTACAAATGGAAGAGTATACAAAGAATTCCAAAAAAATCCTAGAAAATAGGAAATAACTAAGGCTTTTCTGTTAAGAGAAAAAAACAAAAATACCCCTGAGGCGGCTTAAATGGAATCTATGAGGTTATGGCCGGTAAAAAATATACCGTTTGAGGTAATTATTTAAAATAGCAAGAGACCTCAAAAATGTATGTAAAAATAAGATTAAATGGTTGAAAGGTTGTACTAATTTATAAAATTAGTCCCACAGCCAAAATGAATCCTATGCAACAAGGTTTACAGGAAGTGTTATGGCCTGAGAAAATTCATAAATACTCTCTAGAATTAAAGGGAATTTATGGAGTAGACAGAAGAATTTTCTGAGCTTCGGAAGGCCATAAAGAAAGTCGGAGAAACGTGGGCCAAGTAAATTAAGAGGAAACTTAGGGAACAAGTTTGATCCAGTGGCTAGGATCTAATCTCCCTTCTCCTCCACCACATTTGTGACACTTGACATCTTCTAGAAGGATGATGCAAGAAGATGATGCAATGATGATGTAAAAGTCAACTTGAAGTTCTAAAATTGCCCTTACTCTTCCTATTAGGCACCAAGGGCATTTTGGTTCATTAAAGCCAAAGTTTTGGTTATAAATACCCCACATTGGAAGAGCATTTTGACAGCCATTTGTAGAGGGAAAACTCTACCAAAATTTAGAGAGAAAAACGTAGGGGTGAAGGCCAAGAAGAAGGAACAAGATTAAATTACCTTTAGAAGATCAAGGTATGCGGTGGTTATAGCATCTGATTTGATACCTATTTCGAATAAGTTACTCTTTGTATCTGATTCTGAAATTTGGTATGATTAAATTACACTCTATAAGCTTTAAATCCATGGGTATATAACACTTCATTTGGATATGTAACGATTTATGGTGATTTTTCAAAGTTAGGGTTTGAAATATGAAAATAGTGTTTAACCTTTAGAAGAGTGTCGAATTTCGTACAATTATGGTACTTTTCAACATAGAATTGGTTCCTAAAATTATTTTTCCTTCAAAGAGAACTTAAGGAGTTTTCAGTGAGACTTGAAACCACTTAGTTTTAATTTTTCTAGAATTAATTATGAATTTTCAAAGTTGAGTAAAAATTATGGAATTTCTGCGTGAACAGTACCCCCGCAAAGCAAAATGTTCAGATTTGATTTTCTTGAATCTAAGGCCATTTAAAGTGATCCTAATTGACAAGAAATGGATCTTAAGGATAGAAAATGATGAGATTTATGTTAGAAAAACTAGAAAGAAAACCCTAAAAGCAAGAGAAAGGGTTGAGGTTCAAGAGAGCTAGTCATGAACATTATATAGTCTCTTAGGCCTAATAGATTTATGAACATTATGACTATTTTTATGACCTTTGGAACATCCAAAAGGATGTTTGGTGATGTTAACCGAATGCCTACATGGTTGGAAAGTCAAGGGAGTCGAAGGAAACGTAAGAGGAAAGCTTGAGGTGTAAGGTAGTGAACTTACCTATTGTCATTGCTTGATGTTGTATGCTTATGTGTTGCCGTTGTACATGTTATTGAATGTTATTGTGATATGTTTTAGTAGCTGTAATTGCTATATGATGAGTAGATTATGTCTTCATGGTCATGAATCAAGAAGTTAGCTTTGAGCATGCTAATATGTCACTAAGTAACAAGAGAATAAACAAGTTCGTGTAGTGCATTAGCATCCATCTAGCATGATTAATATGGTATTGTTTGCTACTGAGATTTCTCCGAATCTCACCCCCTCCCTAACCAACCATTTAGGTCAATCATCAATGAGCAATAATGGCATGAGAAGCAAGGAGAAGAAAGTGGAGAATTGTTCATATTAATGAATGATATTAATATTCAATGTGTAATTCTTCTATTATGTAATTATGTTATGGATGCCTATGATGCCAATAATTAATTATAATATTTATGGCATGAATTGTATGAGCATGAATGGGAAAGAGTAAGTCCATGTTATATATGCCAAAAAAATAAAAAGAATTAAAGTAAAGAGATGTTAAGGGATAAAATGTAGGTCCTGGAGCAGTGAGTTTGTAGCTCCAGTTTTAAAATGAGCTAAGTCACGAGATTTGACAGACTCATAGTACACATCCCAAGCTTTACAATGAGAGGTAGATCACCTCAATTGGATGTGTACACAAGGAGATACGAATTTCCAAAATTGAGGCACAGAATCTGGAAGTTCCAGATTTTACAAAATAAACAGTAATATTTATTGATTAAACTGTACGAATTGGACAAGGATTTTGATATTTTTTCCTTAAAGAGAATTGAAGGAGATTTCCGTAAAATTTTAGAACACCTCAATACGATTTTTATGGAATTAGTTATAAATTTTTGAAGTTGCGCTGTAAGTTGGAACTTAAACAGTGAATAGTAACCCAAGTAATTATGTTGAAATTTTAAATCCACGGGCTCATGTCATGATCTACTTGAACCATAAACGCTTACGAATGTGTACTCTGAGGGGTTAAAGGTAGGACATTTCAGGGATAAATATGGTTTTTTGTCAGTTCTTATTACCCTTGTTCGCAACACTAACAGGAACTAAAATATGGGTTTTTGCGCTTTCCTTTTCTGCTTAGTTCTTATTTAGGTAAAAAGATATGATTTTTTATCAGTTCTTATACAAAACCATTTTTGGCCCATTTAAACACTCAACTCTTGCTTGTTTTCATAAGCTTGCCCATTAACCAATTTTGGCCCATTTAAAATTGGGCAAGATGCTGCCTGTTGGACACATACTCGTAGCCTAACATTTTGGCCTATTTAAAAATGAGCTAGGTAAAGCCATAATAAACTCGTCAACAGTTGAACTTAGGAACTCAGACACCAGCTTGATGGGCAGGCCTAATCGAAAAAGGCTTGATAGCTGATGTTGATCCAATGACAAAAGAAGTTGGTAGGAAAAGTATTGCATAACTAGAGAGTGCCTAGAAGGGGAGAAAGATAAGGGAAGAATAAGAAATGATGGGAACACGCATAATCCAATGATTAAAAGAAACAAAGAAAGAATGAAAAAAGCCATAAATTAACTCGCACGAAGTCAAGTAGAAATTGCCTGCAGATAGAAAAGAAATTGCACATATCGAATGGATCAGAAAAGATAGGACTCTCCCTCCACAAACCATTCGAGCAAAATATGATTAATCTGCACAGTCTAGACAAAAAGCAAGATATAAAAATGTAAAATTTTATTTAAAATATGGAAAGATTATAAAAGACCCTAAACCCTGAAATGGGCCCTACATTGTGGTTTTATGAACAAATCCAACAATGTATCTATAGTGTCAAGCAAAATCAAACAAAATCTAGATAGGGACAACTTGAAACAAAATTAAAGGTTGACATAATCCTTGTTTAATAATTAGTTTCGTCTTCTTTAGTAGGAGACAAATCCAACAATATATAGTGTCAGCAAAATCGGGCCCAGCTTCTCTCCGCTGACATTACCCTTCGCTGCCCCTCTGCCACTGATAAACAGCAATACGTTTGGAATATTTTGTGAAACACGGAAGGAATGATGAGTTGCGGTTCTAAAACGCAAGTTCTCAATCAAGTAGTGAACCCTATTTAATAAAAAGCTTTTAAAAATATATTACTTCTAATTATTAATATCTCATAATGTCTCAATTTACTTTGTCTTCAATATTGATTTTGAAGATTTAATTTGATCATAAACATAATATCTCAATTTACTTTGTCTTCAATATTTATTCATTTTGCCTTCAAATAATCCTTATATTATTAAACATATTAAAAAATTACTATCAAGATTAATAGAAGATTTTTATTTATTATCAAATTGAAATTTATAAATTTAGAATTTATAAATAGATTAATAATAATTAATAAATTTAGAATTCAGATATAAAATAATTAATAATGTATTTTAATAATATCTTAGTAACAAGTTTGTTACTAATTATATTTACAAATTAGTTATTTAGTTTTTATATTAAGGATTTGGGTAGTTACTGAAATTCTCAATGAAAATATGAAATTAATAAATATAATTATCTTTTAATAAATCATAATATCTTATCAATATCTTTCAGCTTTCATTTTTTTTTGAAATTTTATGTTAACGTAATTTCTATAGTTTTGATAAATCTGATTTCATGTGTAACCATTAATTTTGACTAATTTAGTTAAATATTATTTTATTATCATAGGAATTACTTAGGAATTGAAAGATAATATACTTTTTTTAAAAAAATGGAGAAAATGTAGATCAAATTTCTTATATCTATATGTCAAGTTTTACAATCATATATGATTATAAGTTTTTTCTTGTTAAAATGTAGATTTATAATTATAATTAAATATTTTTAAATACTAATGAATATAAAAAATTTGATCTAACTATTGTTAAAGAAATTATTTAATGGGATTTATTAAAAGTTTATATGGCTTTTTTAGTAGAGAATTTTTTTAGGTTAAACAGGAATATTTCTTTATTTACAAATAATTTTTTTAAGATGAAAATAGAATTTGCTGATGATATATCCCCAATATCTAACAATCACCGCATCAAAGACGAGATTGGCTTCCCCCTTTTCTTTTAATTCAGGGCTTGGGATTTTAGAGCCAACATTGCTTCCTCTGCTGTTTATCCGTAGCAGAGGGGCAACAGAAAAAGGAGATGGCACAAAAGAAATAACAAGAGAATGTAAACAAAACAAACAGCTACAGAAAAAGAAGATGGCATGGAAGAAATAACAAGAGAATGGCAAAGCAGAGAGTTGCAGAAAAAGAAGAGAATGGCAAAGCACAGAAGTAGTAATAAAGAAGTCAAGGCTACAATCTTTTCTTCGTAGAATCCCATATCCCATAGTCCCCTAAAAGTCGTCTGCTCTAAACCTTCAAACTCAACCCTGCCCTTCAAACTCATTCTTACCTTTAACATCTCACGCTCAATCCTGCTTTCTTCCCTCAACATTTCACCCTCAAACCTGCCCTTAGCCCTAGTTGGCAAACAGCCAGACCCACCTCGGCAATGGCAGCTGGCACCACCGTCTCTCTTCGGTGACTGAATCTATGCTCACCCAGTCCTCCCTCCCTCCCTCTGCACTTCATTCTTCTTGTCAACTCTTGAGTTTGTCTCCATTCTTTGTTATTCTTGGATATCCAACCAAAAATATTATTTATTTATCTTTTTGGCATCTAGCAAAGTTTACCCGTAACTTACATGATAATAAATGTGGCCAACTGATGTCTATCTAACCTTCATGACATTGTTAATTTCAAAGATTCTTGCACTTGTTGTCCTCCCTTCAAACTTCCCCCAATAATCCAGATTTTAGAAAATTATTTTAACAGGTACAAAGTATATATTAAATATAAATAAATTCTTAACTGGTTGGTTTGTAAGTCGAAATATTTTCTAGATCTAAGTGACCTTTATTTTGAATTTATGTTAGGATTAGTGATATTCCTAAACTATTCTTGTCTTACTTTTCCCTCTCTATTAGTAATCTCTAGTTGGATCTTTTCTCTTTTTCTTATTTCAAAAACTTGTATGACCTTTTTTGGTTCTACGTTTTTCAAACTCCTAAATAATTATGCACGTCTATTAGTTCTTTAACAATTAGATCAATATAAATTCATTTG